TGTACAGAGAACTTTCCACGGCGCGCATAACGGAGATAAAACACCTCAATTACTGGGAGCGCTTGAGGTTTCTAAACCTGTATTCCCTGGAACACAGGAGGGAGAGATACATGATTAATATCACCTGGAAAATCCTAGAGGGACTAGTACCAAACTTGCACACGAAAAATCACTCACTACGAAAGCAAAAGACTTGGCAGACGATGCCACCATCCCCCAATGAAAAGAAGGGGTGTCACTAGCACGTTAAGAGACCATACAATAAGTGTCAGGGGCCCGAGACTGTTCAACTGCCTCCCAGCACACATAAGGGGGATTACCAACAGACCCCTGGCAGTCTTCAAGCTGGCACTGGACAAGCACCTAAAGACAGTTCCTGATCAGCCGGGCTGTGGCTCGTACGTTGGTTTGCGTGCAGCCAGCAGCAACAGCCTGGTTGATCAGGCGCTGATCCACCAGGAGGCCTGGTCACAGACCGGGCCGCGGGGGCGTTGACCCCCGAAACTCTCTCCAGGTAAACTCCAGGTCTCCAGGTAAACAAAAAATAAAATATTTCCTGTTTTGCAGACTACTGCAATATTGTAATAATTGTATAAATAACATCAACCCATTCATGACTGCATATTAGAATGGCTACTTGGACATTTATTGGAAAATGACATCATTTGTTTACTTTTGAACATCGGCAAAAATCAAACATTTCCCGTACTTTGAGCTCCATTTCAAGGTTCTTTTCATAGTAAAACCAATCAAAATCATCTTTACTTCTATAATATGTTTCCCATTCTATCAAATGAGACCAAGAAAACGAGAATACACCCATAAATACTATACAAAAATAGACCACAAAGTCGGCATTTTAATTAAAAAAACTGTCAGAGTTTTTTCTCTCATTATGCACTGCATGCTGCAGGATTTTTTTTATAGGGTGCACACTGACCACACAGACCCATTCTCTCACATGTGGGCCTACCAGCTTTCTCCTGCTTGATCTGAAGCCCCTAGAATTTATGAATATATATACGTCAAAAACGGTGGCTCGTAAGAAGTATATATACAACCAAAACAGTCAAAGGGTTAAAGAGTGCAGACATAGCTCCCTTGCATAAGAGAGGTAGTAGAGCACTAGCTAAAAATTACAGACCAGTAGCCCTAACCTCGCACATCATAAAAATCTTCAAAGAGAGTGATGAGATGGCAGATTACAAGTTTCATGGACCAGCACAACCAACATAACCTGAACCAGCATGGTTTTAGAGCAGGATGATCATGTCTGTCACAGCTGCTGAACCATTATGACAGAATTACGGAGGCACTGGAAGACGAGCAAAACGCAAGTGATTTACACAGATTTTGCAAAGGCGTTTGACAAATGCGATCATGGAGCGATAGTGCACAAAATGAAGGCCATGGGCATTACGGGAAAGGTAGGCAGATGGATTTTCAGTTTCCTAACACACAGAACACAATAAGTAGTAGTGAACAGAGCAAGATCCAGCATCAGCGAGGTCAAAAGCTCAGTGCCCCAAGGCACTGTCCTGGCACATCTGCTGTTTCTCATCCTCATAGTAGACATAGACAAAAACACCCGACATACTTTTGTATCATCATTTGCAGATGACACTAAAATAAGCATCAAAGTCAGTACGGTAGAGGACACTGAAAAAGTACAGGAAGATAAAAACAGGGTTTTCCAGTGGGCAGTGGAGAACAACATGACGTTCAATGGTGATAAGCTCCAGCTGCTTAGGTATGGAAAGAATGAAGAACTCAAAAGGAGCACTATATACAAAAACCCAAAAGGGTCACCAAATAGAACGTAAGGAACACGTAAAAGACCTAGGAATAATTATGTCAGCAGACCTTTCTTTTAAAAACCATAACAAGACAAAGATGACGACAGCCAGGAAGATGACAGGGTGGGTATTGAGAACTTTCAAAACAAGGGAAATAATGCTGATGGTGACACTCTTCAAATCGCTAGTGCTCCCTCACTTAGATATTGCTCAGTGCTGACGGCCCCGTTGAAGGCAGGAGAAATATCTGAGCTGGAACAAATACAGAGATCGTTTATGGCTCACACTGAGCCTGTAAAGCACCTAAATTACTGGGAACTCCTTCAAGTCTTGAACATGTATTCATTGGAGCGGAGGAGAGAGGGGTACATGATAATACATACCTGGAAGGTACTCGAGGGCTTGGTCCCAAATCTGCACACTGCCATAACAACATACTGGAGTGAGAGATATGGGAGGAAGCGTAAAATAAACCCAGTGAAGAGCAGGGGTGCGGTGAGAACAATGAGGGAATGCTGTATCAACATCCAGGGTCCCAGACTATTCAACATCTTCCCAGAAGATATCAGAAACACGGCTGGAATCAGTGTAGAAGCCTTCAAGAGGAAACTGGACAAGTATCTTCACCAGGTGCCAGATCAACCAGGCTGTGATGGATATGTGGGGCAATGGGCCTCCAGCAGCAACAGCCTGGTTGACAAGGCAAGCACACCAGACGAGCCTGGCCCATGGCCAGGCTCAGAGTAGATAAACTCTCGAATCTCTTCAAAGGTATAACAAAGGTATATCTTGAATGCTGTGGACAAGTTTCAGATCTGGGGTCTGGACAATGAAAGAATTAAGCACCATTTAAATGCCACAGCCTACCTAAGAAACGTCACTGATCATGTTCATCGCTTTATGACAACAGTCTACCAGCAGAATAATGCACCATGTCCAAAAGCACATGTCATCTCAAGTTGGTTCCACAAATATGACAAATTCAGTGTACTGCAATGGCTACCACAGTCACCAGATCATTTCAATGAGGCACCTTTGGGATGTGGTAGAATGGGAGAGTTGCACCATGAATATGCAGCTGACACATATGCAGCAACTGTGTGATGCTATCATCTCAACATGGACCAGAATCTCTAAGGAATGTTTCCAGCACTTTTTGAATCCATGCCACTAAGAATTCAGGCTGTTCTGGGGACATAGGAGAGGCTCTACCCAGTACTAGGAGGGTCTACCTAATTAACCCTTTGACTGTTTTGGTTGTATACACACGTCTTACGAGCCAGGGTTTTGGACGTATTAATATGCATAAATTCTAGCGGCTTCAAATCAAGCAGGAGAAAGCTGGTAGGCCCACATGTGAGAGAATGGGTCTGTGTGGTCAGTGTGCACCACATAAAAAAAATCCTGCAGCATGCAGTGCATAGAGGGAAAGAAAACTTTGACCATTTTTTTGGTTTAAAATGCCGACTTTGAGGTGTATATTCGTATAGTATTTATTGTTGTATTCTTGTTTTCATGGTCTCATGCGATAAAATGGAAAACATATTACAGAAATAGAGATGATTTTGATTAGTTTCATGATGAAAACGACCTTAAAATTGAGCTCAAATTAGCGGAAATGTTCGATTTTTAACAATGTTCAGGAGTAAGCAAATCGCACCACACGTCCAATACACGTCAACTGGGGGGGTCTATTCTTTCACTAGTGCACTGATAATATTTATACCATTTTTACAATAATGCAGTAGTCTGCATAACAGTAAATTTTGTATTTTATATAAGAATAAAAAATCAAAATAGAAAGCAATAGTAATATAAGAGGGCCCTAGAGACATGACTAATGAACAGAGGATATGTTATTTTAGTGCCAAGAATGTCTACATTGTTTATTCTGGACCCTATTTTGAAATTGGCATCTTTTTTAATTTGTGTGAAATTGGCCAAATTGCCAATTTCTGACCACTTTATTGGTTAGTTCAAATCAGTAAATGGGCAATTTCTTGAAACAGCTATGAGTTTGGTCAACTGGAACAACGGAATTGGCTAAAAACAGGGCCCAAAGTCGGCGAAATCGCCGATGCGTATATGTCGCTGAGACTGATAAGTTCGCGGGAGCGTAATTCCGAGAGTTTTCAACCAAATTTCATACTTTTGGTGTCATTACCATCGGGAAAAGATTCTCTATCATTTCATAAGACAAAAAAAAATATTTTTCCCAAAAATTTTGCGACATACAATGACAGTTTCAGAAAGGGGCTTGCAACAGTCAAAGGATTAACCCTATCAGGGTTGGTGCCGTACTAGTACGGCTTGCATGCCAGGGTTGGTGCCATACTAGTACGCATAAATTCTAGCGCCTTCAAATCTAGCAAGAGAAAGCTGGTAGGCCTACATAAGAAAGAATGGGTCTATGTGGTCAGTGTTCGCAGCATAAAAAAAATCCTGCAGTACACAGTGCATAATGAGAAAAAAACTGTGTTTCTGGTTCAAAACAGCGTCTTGCAGTGTATTTTTGTATGCTATTTATGGTTGTATTCTAGTTTTCCTGGTCTCATTTTATAGAATGGAAGACATATTATGGAAATTGAGATGATTTTAATTGGTTTCACAAAGAAAAGTACTTTGAAATTGAGCTCAAAGTAGCAGAAATGTTCGATTTTTGCCAATTTTTACCATTTCTACACCATTTCTACATGAATGCAGTAGTCTGCATAACATAAATCTTCTATTTTTTGTGAGAATAAAAATTCAAAATGGAAAACAAAAGAAATGTAGCAGAAGCCTGGGGACGTGCGTAATCAACAGAGGAAATGTTATTTTAGTGCCAGAAATGTCTGTCTTGTTTATTCTGGACCCTATTTGGAAATTAGCATCTTTTGAAATTTGTGTGAAATTGGCAAAATTGCCAATTTCTGACCACGTTATTGGTTAGTTGAAATTGGTAAATGGGTGGTTTCTTGTACTCATTCGATAGACAAAATGGAGTTCTAGCAAAATAGGTATGATTTTTGTTGACAGGTACATTGGAATTGAGTGATAATAGGGCTCATATTGGGTGAAATCGCCGATGCGTAAACATCGTCGAGACCGCTAACTTCACAAGAGCATAATTCCGTAAGTTTTCCATCAAATTTCATACTTTTGGTGTCATTATGATCGGGAAAAGATTATCATTGAATAAGAATTTTTTTTTTTTTTCTAAAAATTTCTGACCCTAAGAACAAGTTCAGGAGAGGGCCTGCTGACCCTGAAAGGGTTAAGAGACCACTGAATGTACATATTTATTCACCAAGAGGATTTTTTTATATTTCATGGCAAACTGCACTTGAGAAATAATAATATTACTTTTTATAAGAAAACTTCTAAGTATGAAGTTGTTCATCACTACTGTACTAAGAAAAAATATTTACAAAAATGTATACATATATAGATAATCCTTGACTGCTCATGATGTAAAGCATGCAGGAAACTTAACCAATAAATATTAGGAAAGAAACATTACGAAGGAAATAAAGCAAACTCATCAAAGATGAAAATATAAGTTAAGAAATAAGAAAAATTAAACCAATGCAGTTAAGAACTTAAGGACGTACCAACTAAAGAATGTGGATCAGCCCCACTTAAGAGAGGATACAGACCCCAACTTGCAGGACGCTCTCTGGTAAAGTTACCATCTTGGTGTTTTCTGTCTCGCCGTATAATTTGTGGGCTATCTTGTTGTATAGTGTAAGAGTTCTTCCGAGGTGTTTAACTTGGGTATTACACGGCGCATGACCTGAGGACTTCCATACGACATTACTTGTGCATTTTCTTCATGTTCAACTTGTGAATTTGCTTGCTGCATCAATCGTGAAGAATCTTCCTTTCCCACCTGCAAACCTTCTTCCTGAAATTCTGCAAAACTACCTTGAACTAAATGTGAATTATTTCTCTCTTTAATTTGAGAACCATCTTTACGTCCAGCTTGTACACTATCGTGTCTTTTAACGCTGAGTTGATCATGTTGTGTCGTCCCTTCTCTTCCCACCATTGTAAAACTGCCAGCCCTCTTCCTATGAGGTGCCTGATTTTCCTTTTCCAGAGTACCATAATTATATTCATTTTGCTGTGGTTTCTTGGGAGACTTCAATCTTTCACACTTTTGCCTGAGTGATTCTCTAAAGCTGCCACTGCGACTTCTTGGTTTATTACCTTCCGGTGAAGCTTTCAAAGATTTACCACCATGCGAGCCCAAAACAGGAATTCCAGAAGCACGTGATTTAGAGCGAGTGTCATCTGTCTTTTCTTTGGTAATATTTTCTTTGAGGAAAGTTTGCTCTTCATTCTGGATCTTTATCTGTTGGAAATCTTCAAGTGTACCTTTCAGAAATACCATAGTCACAACCACTGTGCCAATTATATCAGCAGAAGAATCTATTATTCGACCTTCGTAGACATAGTCCCCTCTTGAATTCAGTTTCAGATCTGGTAGTATAAAGTTCCCTATTGCATCGCCATCCTGCCAACCTTTCTTCAGCCTTAACTGCCTCCTGAGTAATCTTTGCCGAGGTGTGTCACATTCTACTTTTCTTGGGCTTTGCATTTGTCTCCCAAATAATCTTTCATCTTCTGCTGATTCCACATTATCTCCACCACCAATTTTGAGATTCACATGCAAGCTCTTGCTGTCACACAAATACTGTCGAAATGAATGTGGGCCACAGGTGACGTAGTACGTGATTCTTGCTTCACTCTTCTCTGGAGGAAGTCTGTGAAAGCAATTAAAAGAAATTAAGAATTTAATCTAAATATTCTGGATTTTGAATTGATAATATGAATAAAAAAATTTAAGTTTTGTTGGTGTTAAGAGTATATACCAGTTATTAATTCTCTTTCTGTACATTGAAGACATCACCTCTATCACATGCAATAAAATACATAACACTGGAATTAAATACAGTAGACCCTTGGATAATGCATGACAATAAAAAAATCAAGAATGAAACTCTTACAATTATCAAGAAAATTGAGGTAACATGTGTTTCAAAGTGTGTAGTGAAAGTAGATGAGAGAAGAAGAATGACAGTAAGCCATAGGTACACTTCAGGTATATATTCTCACAGAGAGCTTAGCAATGTTGCACAATTTTTCCCCACATGTTCTTCACTTTAAATAACACTCGCTGGAATAAAGCACAAATTTTCATGAAAATAACTTGCATGATACTAGAGGGTCAACTGTATACTGTAATTTATTACGTATATACATCATTACTGCCACTCTTCTCTCTAAATTTATTACGTATATACATCATTACTGCCACTCTTCTCTCTAAAAGCTCTTGTTATTATTAGTCATATAGGTTATATACATGTAGCGCATCAACACACATTGTAATCCATAACCTCTGTCAAGCACTGTTTTAAGTTCATTCTGCTCTCAGGTGCAGAAATTATAATACACAACACACTGATTAATTTCCAGATAATAAAGTAATAAGGACAGTATTTATGACAGACAATGACAGCTAACACAGACAGAGGCAGTAAGAGTGCACATAACATGACCTTTACATATTCCTTCACACAATACCAAGCCTCTACAATACTGTCCATTAACAACAAAACAGATGACAAAGAGATTAAATAGCCTACGGCTGATGACAGTATCCTCAAATCCATTGACACAAGAACAAAAAAATGGAGCACTGCTGCAAGTCAACTGGCCCAAGCTAAGAAAGTCTAATTCACGCCTACTCAGGAACATGTCTAACCTATTTTTAAAGGTACACATGTAGACAGCCTGTACTGTCTGCACAGACAGCCCATGCTGTCTGCCAGCTTAGTTCATATTTTGCGCCATGCTAGTGCTGCCACCTATAGGCCTTGCCACTTCAGTATGCCCAGACTTGCCTCACCCTCACTCTCACAGCGGCCTAGCAGCAAGACACAAGGCCTCCCAGCTCTCTCTCGTGGGATGGCCCAGGCAGGGCCTACCTACATACCTACTTGCCTGCCTGCCTACCTACCTACCTACCTTCCTGCCTGCCTGCCTACCTACCTGCCTGCCTGCCTGTCTACCTACCTACCTACCTGCCTGCCTGCCTGCCTGTCTACCTACCAGTCTGCCTGCTACCCAGCCTGCCAGCCTGCCACACAGCCTGAATTCTTGCCTGCCACCCACCCTACCTGCCATCCAGCGTGCCTGTCTACCTACCTACCTGCTTGCCTACCTACATACCTACTTGCCTGCCTGCCTGCCTGCCTACCTACCTGCCTACCTACCTGCCTGTCTACCTACCTACCTGCCTGCCTGTCTATCTACCTGCCTACCTTCCTGCCTGCCTGTCTACCTACCTACCTGCCTGCCTGTCTACCTACCCACCTGCCTGCCTGCATGTCTACCTACCTACCTGCCTGCCTGCATGTCTACCTACCTACCTGCCTGCCTGCCTGTCTACCTACCTACCTGCCTGCCTGCTTGTCTGTCTACCTACCTGCCTGCCTGTCTACCTACCAGTCTGCCTGCTACCCAGCCTGCCTCCCTACCTGCCAGCCTGCCACACAGCCTGAATTCTTGCCTGCCACCCACCCTACCTGCCATCCAGCCTGCCTGTCTACCTACCTACCTGCCTGCCTACCTACATACCTACTTGCCTGCCTACCTACCTGCCTGTCTACCTACCTACCTGCCTGCCTGTATCTACCCACCTACCTTCCTGCCTGCCTGTCTACCTACCTGCCTGCCTGTCTACCTAACTACCTGCCTGCTTGCCTGTCTATGTACCTACCTGCCTGCCTGCTTGCTTGTCTGTCTACCTACCTGCCTGCCTGTCTACCTACCAGTCTGCCTACTACCCAGCCTGCCTCCCTACCTGCCAGCCTGCCACACAGCCTGAGTTCTTGCCTGCAACCCAGCCTACCTGCCTGTCACCCAGCCTGGCTGCCTTCCTGCCTGCCACCCAGCCTGGCTGCCTTCCTGCCTGCCACCCAGCCTGGCTGCCTTCCTGCCTGCCACCCAGCCTGGCTGCCTTCCTGCCTGCCACCCAGCCTGGCTGCCTTCCTGCCTGTCACCCAGCCTGGCTGCCTTCCTGCCTGCCACCCAGCCTGGCTGCCTTCCTGCCTGTCACCCAGCCTGGCTGCCTTCCTGCCTGCCACCCAGCCTGGCTGCCTTCCTGCCTGTCACCCAGCCTGGCTGCCTGCCTGCCACCCAGCCTGGCTGCCTTCCTGCCTGTCACCCAGCCTGGCTGCCTTCCTGCCTGCCACCCAGCCTGGCTGCCTTCCTGCCTGTCACCCAGCCTGGCTGCCTTCCTGCCTGCCACCCAGCCTGGCTGCCTTCCTGCCTGCCACCCAGCCTGGCTGCCTTCCTGCCTGCCACCCAGCCTGGCTGCCTTCCTGCCTGCCACCCAGCCTGGCTGCCTTCCTGCCTGTCACCCAGCCTGGCTGCCTTCCTGCCTGCCACCCAGCCTGGCTGCCTTCCTGCCTGCCACCCAGCCTGGCTGCCTTCCTGCCTGCCACCCAGCCTGGCTGCCTTCCTGCCTGCCACCCAGCCTGGCTGCCTTCCTGCCTGCCACCCAGCCTGGCTGCCTTCCTGCCTGTCACCCAGCCTGGCTGCCTTCCTGCCTGCCACCCAGCCTGGCTGCCTTCCTGCCTGCCACCCAGCCTGGCTGCCTTCCTGCCTGCCACCCAGCCTGGCTGCCTTCCTGCCTGCCACCCAGCCTGGCTGCCTTCCTGCCTGTCACCCAGCCTGGCTGCCTTCCTGCCTGTCACCCAGCCTGGCTGCCTTCCTGGCTGCCACCCAGCCTGGCTGCCTTCCTGGCTGCCACCCAGCCTGCCTCCTTCCCTACCTGCCTGCCACCCTACCTACCCACCTGCCTGCCTACCATGCCCTGTCCTGCACTTTTGCCTGGGTATAAGCCTATGAAAGAATGGTTTACTCTTCTGCTGGGTAATAATGTGTCTGGATATTTCACGCTGCATTATGACTGTTTACACTCTTTACAACTCACAAAACCCCAGTGTGTTTATATGAGCAAGTATCCAAGGGCAGGTTGAGTACTCTGCCACCTTGTAACTAATTACAGGCAGGACCCCACTTTATAGTGCTTCACTTTACTGTGTTTTGCTTTATAGTGCTTCACTTTACTGTGTTCGGCTTTATAGTGCTTCACTTTACTGTGTTTTTGCTTTATAGTGCTTCACTTTACTGTGTTTTTGCTTTACAGTGCTTCACTTTACTGTGTTTTTGCTTTACAGTGCTTCACTTTACTGTGTTTTGCTTTACAGTGCTTCACTTTACTGTGTTTTTGCTTTACAGTGTTTTTGCTTTACAGTGCTTCACTTTACTGTGTTTTGCTTTACAGTGCTTCACTTTACTGTGTTTTGCTTTACAGTGCTTCACTTTACTGTGTTTGGCTTTACAGTGCTTCACTTTACTGTGTTTGGCTTTACAGTGCTTCACTTTACTGTGTTTTGCTTTACAGTGCTTCACTTTACTGTGTTTTGCTTTACAGTTCTTTGCTTTACTGTGTTTCACTTTACAGTGCTTTGCTTTACTATGTTTTACTTTACAGTGCTTTGCTTTACTGTTTTTCACTTTACAGTGCTTTGCTTTACCATGTCTCACTTTACAGTGCTTTGCTTTACATTGTTTTGCCAATGCAACATTTTTCAATTAACCCTTAAACACTCCAAACGTATATATACGTTCATACGCATAGCGCCCCAAATGTATATATACGTTTTAATTTTCCTGCCTCCAAATTTGGCACGATTCACCTGAGATGCCTGGTCAGCATAGAATGGGTCTTAACACTAGGTGTGCACAGTATTAATAAAAATCTGGGACCACTTAGTACCCTGTGGGAGCACCAGTTAAATTGAGCACCAGCTAGAGCAAACAATGTGGCAAACAACAAGGATTCACTGATGTAATGCCATACTAGCACTCCTCTTTTAAGGGGAAAGTGATGTTAACCCCAAGTTTAGGGTCTGTCGATCTCTGTCTCTGTTTCTATCTGTCTGTCTCTATCAGTCTGTCTCTGTCTCTATCTGTCTGTCTCTGCCTTTGTCTATCTGTCTCTGCCTTTGTCTATCTGTCTCTGTCTATCTCGTTCAATCTGTCTCTCTCTATCTCTGTCTCACAGGTACACATAAATACAAGAATACATAGTATAAATTACCCAGGATAACCCAAAAAATCCAGACAAAATGCTATACTTTGCTTGAAGATGTGAGTAAACGTGATGACGCAGTCTTGTGGTTCTCTCTAAACAGAGAGCTAGACAGATAAACAGACAGACAGGGAGCTTGACAGACAAATAGACATGTTTGTGTACCAGCGAAAACAAAGCGAGGGAGATGTACATCAAATGTCACATCTAATCTTCTCTTATCTGCTGCACCCTCCCCCACCCTCGTGTATGCTCATCAAAAGTCAGCTCTTATCAGATGTTATCTCATCTTATCAAGTCACTGTCAGGAGTGGACTTTGTTTATATGGAATTGTTTTTACTGATTTCACAAACACTATGAGTAACTGCTTGTTGCTACCAACAGTAACAAAACCTACAAGAATTACAGTGACTAGTGTTTCCCTACTAGACCACATCTGGACCAACACCATATCCCCTTTAAAGTCAGGCATAATCACAGATAATACCACAGACCACTACCCTACTTTCCTCATAACTAATCTAGGCAAATTACCCCAAGACACTACTAAAATCACTCTCAGACTTCATAATAACACAGTCATTAATAACTTCACA